ATTCTAACAACAGATTATCAAGCTTAAACGTGCTGCTGTTGTTCAGTCGCTGGTTTCCTCTTTCTGGTCCAAAGTGGGCCAAAAACAAACAAGAGAGACGGACTTGCGGACTTGCGGGGGTTGTTGCTGAGCTCAGAAACAGGCTAAATCTTGATTTTGAAATGTACATTAATCAAAAAAATGAGCTAAATTAAAAGGCTTGAGCATTGTGTGGCGTGTATGTGCAAATCATTAGAAAAAAGCTACTGGCCTCTCAGTTTGTCCAGTTCCAGTCATTAACAAAGTGAGATGAACACACCCATAAATGGAGACTGCCACAGTATATATCAGTATGAAACAAGCACAACTTTCAGCAACAATAGCCTGTTGTCCTTTACATTCATGCCACAAGATCAGAGTAATATGAATGATAGATGCAGACTGGTGTGGAGCTTTTTTTAAAATTTTTATTTATACTTAAATTTATTTTGTTTTACAAAATGAAATAATACAAGGTTCCTTGTACTAACAGAATGCCACTGACTGATGTAATATACCGCATAAAACACATTTGAACATTAAAATAACATTTACAAACCTCATAAGCATATGGTGGAAAAATGTTACCATGATGGCCTCACAAGTCAAATCTGTAGTGTAATCCCTGTTGTTTAACTTTGCTGCTTGAATCGTGTATTTAGTTGAGCCACACAAAGTGGCAATAGATGGCTTTGAAAACACCCGTTTGTAGGTTTGGATGCCTAATGATCCAGTGGATATTTGGCTAACAGAAGGTCTCTTATAAATCCTCTATTCCTTGAGCACTCCTCAGTGAATCACCATCAATTATTCACTCTTGTTTTACTTTTGGTTTCCAACAGTCTCCTTGTTTGGAAATTTAAAACAAGTCAAGGGTAAAAGTGGGGGCTGCATTTGACTACCAGAATGGTACTGCAGCTTCTGTGTTTTGTTTTGTTTTTCCAGGCACTGCAGTTCCTGTCCAAGGCCCATCGCTGTGAGGTTCAGGGAGGCGGTTGGGAGAAAGAACCTGCTCTCTTCAAGGAGGTGATCAAACAAGCTGTCCACATGGGAGAAGGTTAGCTCACCACCCAGCTCAGTATGCCCTCATAGCCATTTCTCAGAGGAACGGAGAAGATGAAAGGATGGCAATGAGATGGAAAAGCGATATCTCTGATTACAGTTTAGATGATAATCTCCTCAAACCTTTGATGTTTTCATTACAGTAAGACGGATTCATAGAGTTAAACACTGGAGAGGCAATCAGAAGTGACTTTGAAAAAATAATAATAATGCAATAATAATGCTGTGAGGTATTAAATGTGTTTGCATTCACCATCAGTTTATCCTTCCTCCCTCAACTAATGTTAGCCATGTTCCTGGGTGTGATGTTTGGGTTCTTTAAAACACAATTTAAATCCCTTCACTTTTAAATACTTCAAATACTTTTAAATACTTGTGTGTTAGATTTGATTGTCAGTGAATAAGACTGGATTTTTGTACATAAGTCTACATTAGTTTAGTTAATATTTGTATTCAATATAATAATAATAATGATCAATGCCTCATGCTACATATAGTCTGTGGGTTTTTTGTATGCTGTCTGTGATGCAGCATTACAGAGGTACTTCTGATCATCTGATTCTACCAGGATCACAGTACCATCTGCTCATCTGCAAGCTCTCTTCAAACCAATGTTCAAACCAAAATTCTCCCATATGTGTTAAAATCCTTGCACTGGCTTCCGGTTGAGTATAGATATCAGTTTAAAATCCTCACTTTTACATTCATGTCCCTACAAGGTGAGGCCCCCACTTATATCACTGTGCTTCTCCAACCCTACTCTCCAAACCAGATCCTTAGATCCACTGATAGTGGTCTTCTAACCATTCCATGGACCCGTTTGAAAACGAAGGGGGGATCCCGCTTTTCAAACATTGGCTCGAATATTATGGAACAGTTTACCTCCTCCGCTACGCACCATCAACTCTGTAGCTACTTTTAAAAAACAACTCAAAACACATCTGTTTAGACAGGCCTTTAGGTAATATTCATGTGTAGTATACTGTTTTAGTGGATATGCTATTATACCCTCTTTATAGTGTTTTATTTTTCGTTTGATATGCTTTTATTCCCTTGTGAAGCACTTTGAAATCACTTCCTGTTTTAAAAAGAGCTGTATAAATAAATTTTACTTACTTACAATGTTTTATTATCTGAAAGAGGAACCCTTACATCCTCTAAGATAAAAACAGCAAATGAATTATTCCAAATACCAAAAAGGTAAATTATATATGCAGTGCATCTGGAAAGTATCCACAACACTTGTTCCACATTTTGCCAGGTTACACCCTTATTTCAAAATGGAAATACATTCAGTTTTAATTCACGTACACAATATTGCGGGATTGGTGACTTTTTACTTAGAGTGTTTTTAGTTTTTTGGAGTGCTGTGCAGCTTTTCAACTCAGTGACCGCCTGATATAGGGAGAGCCTGATCAGACCCAGCTGCCCTGCTAGGCTTCCTGGCACTGCCCCACCTGGCCACAACGAGGGAACTCTTTGGCCTAAATGCAAAGTGTCCTCTCTCAAGGAAATTGGGCTCATCATCTGGCCAATACCATCGCTGGCACACATCCACATGCTGTGAGGATGTGAGATCAAGGGAAAAATGAATGCAGTCATGTACAGAGAGCCTTGATGATAACCTGCTCCAGAGTGCTCACTAGGCCGGACTTGGCCGAAGGTTTATATACCAAGAGCACACAGCCAAGATAACAGTGGAGTGGCTTCAGGACCACTCTGAACATTCCTTGAGTGGCCCGGCCAGAGCCCCGACCCAAGTGATCATATCTGGAGCGATCTGAAAATGGCTGTGCAATGACGCTCTGCATCTAACCTGACGCAGCTCGAGAGGTTCTGCAAAGAAGAATGGAAGAACCTGTTCAAAAATAGTTAGACTTGAGGCTTTAATATGCAACATTTGGAGTTAGGCTGTTTAGCTTCTGCTTAAACACAAAAACATCTGGTTGATAAAACTCTTGATCACCTCCCTTACATGACAAAACGACAAACAAGTAAAGTGTTGAGAATGCTTTTGTGATGTATTGGGTAAGCGTTCAGGGTCACCTGATCTATTTTTGCCAATAAGCTTTAAAAAAATGTAAGCGCCCAGTTTGTCTCCCAAATACAAACTGGACACTGGTTCCACAGAGAAACTTGAATCCTCTACCTCCCATTCTACTGTTAACCCTAAAACACTAATGTCAGGTGATTTTCACCCACGTAAAACTGATAGTGTTACAAAACTATCAAAACCACATTAATATAGTTTTTTGCTCTCACAAGTAAACTGAGAGTAAAGTGTTGTATTAAGGTGATATGGTAGTATGAGTTCTAAGGGGCCTGTTACTTCATGTAGCATTGGCAGTTGGGCATGGAGGACCAGATCTTTGTCATGAGCTTCTCTTTTAGGTGGAGAAGCATTCAGTGCGTTCGATGCATTACCTGTTCTTTGGGATTGGTACCTAATCTCATAGTTGGACATGCTGGTATCTCCCCCCTGACCTGATTTAAAATGTGTGAAATTTAAAAAAATATAGAAGCTGTTACTAGAAATCAATGATATAAAAAATTTAAATTTCAAGGAAAAACCCCTGAAATTGTCTAGCATAAATTCTTATAGTGTCCACTAATGGAAAAGGGGTGGAACAATTACTGTTAAATGAAAGTGTCCAAACTGAACCACTGAACAACAGCAGCTTTAATCAGGGAGGTGATCAAGAGTTTTATCAACCAGACGTTTTTATGTTTAAGCAGAAGCTATACAGCCTAAGTCCAAGTACACATTGTTTAATAGTGTTTGAGTACAGAAAAATTACAAAACATTTTGGGAAAGCTACAAACATCAGCCACACTTGAATCTAGGACTCCATCCATCTATCTTCGTCCACTATCCATGGCCAGGTCGCAGGGGCAGCAACCTAAGCAGAGTGGTTCTGCTCTGAGCCCCTAATTCCTCACCCTATCACTAAGGGAGAGGCCAGACACCCTTCGGACAAAGCCCATTTCCACCGCTTGTATCCACGATCACGTTCTTTCAGTCACGGCTCGTGGGCATATGTGAGGGTAGGGATGTAGATCGACTAGTAAATTGCGATCTTTGCTTTTCCACTAAGCGCTCTCTTCCCCAAACTGGACCAGTACAACATCCGCATCACTGCAGCCGCAGCACCAATTCGTCTGTTCCCGTCACTCGTCAACAAGACCAAAAAATATTTAAATTGCTCCACTTGGGGCAGGAATTCGTCTCTGACCCGGGGTGGGGAATCCACCGTTTTCCAGCTGAGGACCATGGCTTCAGATTTGGTGGTGCTGATTCTCATTCCCACTGCTAGGATTCCCAAAAGTACTAAAAGGTTGGGAGTTGATTACATACACACTCTATGAAATACTCAAATAGAGGTAAATATTCGCCAAAAAATGAGCTGGACACTGTCATACAGTAGAAATGCCCAATCATTCTGAAATGGAGAATAACTCAAGTGTTACCATCTGTAGGATTAGATTTTGCTTTTGTTTAAAGACAGAAGAATAAAGGGAGAGGGCTTAGAGAAAAGATAGCAAAATAGTACTTCCTAGTGAGTTTAGAAAATGTGTTGCTGTTACTTGACTACAGGTCTTGGTTGAACTCTTTCTAATCCCTTTAATCTCCCCTCCATGTTGGGGGCATACTTGTGGGTTCCCAAATGGTCCAAACACACTCCAGTGATACAGCTCACACAAACAATGAAATGCAACACTTTTGAGGGTTTTGGAAGACACCTTTAGGATTCCTATATTTGATATTTGCGCTTGTGCACGGTTGTCCCAAAGAATTAACTACTATGGTAATAAATCTGATTTCTGACTTTCTAAATGCTGCTTCTGTGCTTAGATGCAGAAGCTTTTCCCTGCATCCTCTAAGTCTCCCTTTCTCTGCATCACAGTGGCACTCAGTTGCAGTGTGAAGAAGAGTAATCCAACAGAAGCTCTTCAGATACTCTCCTCTACACGCCTCAGTCTCAGGAGTCTGGCCACCAAAGCCAAGGTAACATTAAGAGACCCCCACTTAGCACGAAGCAGATATCTGCCTCACTTTATAGACAATTTTCCTGATCAGGAACTAGGAGGAGGATTGAGTTTAGCCTGTCCTACTGTGTGTGTTCTTACTGTAGCAATTGCTCCTATAGGACCTCTTTCAGTGATGTTTTCGGGTTGTTCCTACTGCTTGTCAAGTACTTCTGACCTGCCCTGAAAAATTAAACACTAAACCTTGTTTGCACCTATTTTGCATTTCCCTTTGTTTACGGACATTTAATGTATATTGTATACCAATATTAGACGCTGATATTAAAAGATAAGTAAATTTTCATACCATCCATATAAGTAAAAGCTTAGGTTTAGGAGTGCTATGATCACTGATTCATTTTCTTTCTGTTCTTGGCTCTCCATGATGTTAGTAAGAATGGGCGTCCTTATATGGTCATTCTAGGTGTACAGCTTTGGCTATGAGCAAGAAAGCCACACCTTCCTTCCTCACTTCACCATGGGCAGCCAATCAGAAGAAAAGTTGGCTTGAAGAAATGCAGACCTTAAAGGGGGCCAGACTAAATGACTTTCATCAGACACAGGGTGAAGTCAATGGTTGCATCAAGGCCTAGTATAAGATAAATAAAGATTATTTTTAAACTGCAAAATAACAATAAGTCTGGAACCTCTTTAGCTCGTGGTCTTCACTCAGTAAGTGACGATGGCAGCACATGCTCATGCAGATGTTGTCAGCATGCAGCCTGACACAAAATCTTTACCAGGTTTGACACCATTCAAATCATCTGTTCTGCCTGAACAAACTCATCCAGCAGGCGATCAAGACAAATGTCAGACGTGAAGATTTATAGACATAGGCGTTTGGGTTGTTAAGTCGTTCTTCTCAGTGGTATAAGTTAACATTAATGACTTTATAATTGACTCTTCCATTGTAAATCGTCTTCCAGCAAATCCACACAGACGTGGCCACAGGGAGGATCCATGCTGAGCTGCAGGACGGCGTTACTGCTGTGGAGCAAGTCATCACCGAGCTGCAAGATCTGAGTGGGAAGCTGCGTAACCAGTCACAGTGACCATCCATCTCTAATATGCCCCTTTTGTGGCAAAAGAGAGAACCTTTGGTTCTCAGGGGTCCTCAGTAAGACTCAGTAATAAAGACCCAAACCAGCTCTACACCTGCATTTATCATCACAGTGTATTAAATAAAGAAAGCCAAAGGACTGAATTAGTAATCCTATTTTTATTACCTTTATGTCCACTTTGAAATGTAAACACTCACTGGATGGCATCTTAAAATACAATGTTAAAAATTTGAATGCTTGCTTTGAATTTTTTTGTTGTAAATGAAGTGATAAAATCACCTTTATCTGTGATAAACAAAGTGATCAGTTGACAGATTTTGAAGCTGCATCCATACAGAATAGGCTCTTGGGACAGGATGCAGCTTTAGGTCGTCTGTATCTGTAAATATTTAGATCCCTCTCTCATCCACTGAAGAGACACATGTAAATGTAGTAAAAAAAAAATGGGCCTAGATTGTAAAAATGTGATTGGTACAGTAGGTTACTGTACCCATTGTGGTAATTTCTGCAGAACAGAACATGGAAGAAAAATCAAGCCTCTATTCCAACTTCTTTGTCGGACATATTTCAAGATGCATACTCTAAAAATCTTAAATCTGGCTCTTTCTATTTTTTTATACCTATTCAGTTCAGTTTCATTTTATTTATACCCCCTATCAGCAACCACTGGGAAACACGACAGTGGGAAAGAAAAACTCCCTTTTAACAGGAAGAAACCTCCAGCAGAACCAGGCTCAGGGAGGGATGGCCGTCCACCACGACCAGTTTGGGTGGGGGGAGGAAGACAGGACAACGACATGCTGTGGAAGAGAGCCAGAGATTAATAACAAGTAATGATTCAGTGCAGAGAGGTGACTGATTCCCCAGCAGGCTACACCTATTGAAGCATAAATAAGGAAGGATTCAGGGTCTCCTGATCCAGCCCTACCTCATCTGAAGTAAATCCGCAGTCCGAGAGGGAAGTGCACTAATGGGGTGATATGATACTATAAGGTCATTAAGATAAGATGGGGGCTGGTTATTCAAGACCTTGTATGTGAGGAGCAGGATTTTGAATAAATGAAGGGAAGCCAATCTAGCTCTAGTTGTGCTAAAAGAATTTTATAGTCAACTAGGAAATGGCACTGTTCTTAACCAGCCTGGAATAAACAAACGAATGTATTGGTGTTTGTCTTGTCTTTCCCTTTCAGCCAATAATACATGTATGTATCCAAATAGTTGCTAAGACTAGATTTGTATGAGATAGTGGTGTGCTACTTTATAAGCTGCCACTAGCTTAACAACTTGCATACATAAACTTTACATGCTAACTGGTAAATGGAAAATGGACTGTTCATATAGCGCTTTTCTACTCGAGCACTCAAAGCGCTTTATACAATAGTAACTAACAGATTAGTAAAGTCCTATAAATGTACACATCAAAGCTGAAGTCAAATTATTTTCTATACATTTACATTAAAAATGATCCAACAGTAGCACAACAGTAGCACAACAGTACAGTGACTCATATTAAGAAAGGTGAGGCTGCTATTAAGGTGCTTATGTCAGCAACAAAGTGATAGATACATAAATGGCAGCAATTAAAAAAACATCCAAGCAGAATGTTTTATTAAATCTGAGTTGTTTTGATATTGTAGCTGTAGTCTAAGTTCTTTCTAGAATAACTCAAAATGATTGACTTTTTTTGTCCTTCATGAATATTTAAATGAAATTGATTCCTAACACCAAGTCTTATCTCTTAAAGAATTGGTTGCATAAAGAAAAATTGTATACTAGGGAAGCAGACTTGCCTTTCCCCTTAATCTCCTAACTATCTAAGTTTAGTACTCAGCTCTCGAACACCACCTCCACTCACTGTGTTCTAAGTTATAAAAAGGCTATTAAAAACCATGAGCCACGCTCTGATGCTCTGCGAGATCATTTCCCAACTCATCCGACATGGTGAGCACACACACACACGCATCCCATTTCCCTGCAGTTCATACAGGGAGGAGACCACAATTTGTTTCCTCAACTAGAAGGAAAATGACCTTGACATTGCTCAGGTTTTTTTTATCTCCCTTCTTTTTTCACTGTATTGGAGCTTGTGTTTTATTTTTCTCTGCCCATTTGTCACAAGAGCCAGAACCTCTGTTTTGAAAGTGTTACCACAGCGATAAGGACTTAAAGGCCCCTATAAATGGATGATCTCGCATGAGGGAGTGGAGCACTGTGACAATGTAAAATGTTGATGATTGCACTTTGACAGTTGCCTTCATGGTAAATTCTCTGAGCTAATACTCATGTTTGAATCCACATTTCCAGCCTCAATCCAGTTATTAAATAAAAATGGCAAGAAGAAATGACCTATTTTAAGCTCTGGATCATCATTCATGACCACATTATATCACACCCACAGGATCTCTCAGCACTGGTGACTAATCTT